TCTACAGGCTGAAACAAGTCCTACAAAACTAACTTCCCACAAAATGTCAATTCAAAATTATTTTATAATCTGTTGCCAGTGTAATCAGATACTGACACAACAAGTATTTGCTCAACTCAACTTCCTGTAAAATTTTAAAGAAAGAAAATGAAATGCTAGTTCTGCCACTGAGAGGCTGACAGCTCCAGCAGATGCACCCTTGACATGCCTGCAGGCGACACAGCTGTTCCCCACCCCCCAAAAAAGCAAAACAAAAAACATGCAGTCTGCAGTATTTTGATGACCTGTCACAAACTAGTGAACAAAACACAACCAAGCTGTATCACATTTCAGCATTCAGCATTACACAGTTCAGTATTCTCCATCTAGAGATATATACCCTGTTCTAAACAGGCTTTCCCCAAGGCTATCCACACCAAGGAAACTCACACACCACACTAAACATTTTACAACGTCTATAGCTATCTCCCTCAGTATATGATCCAATACCAGCTTGCATTTAGCAGACATGAAGGCTATCCATTTAAAAATCTAATCAGCTTTGTTTTTAAAGTGAGGTGCAACAGATGCATCTGGCCTACAACCCCCTTTCCGTCTTAACCAGTATCGTCCACTATAAAGGGTTATGGGAGCTACAATTCAAAAACATCTTCAGGGCCACAATGGCCTGTTCGTGTTTTATGTGCTTCTACCACAGTAAAACCAAACAGTGTTTGAATACATCACAAGAATCATGAGACTTTTGCTGATGAAAGCATGCTGCAGGAAGTTTCTCACCAAGACGCAGTATGTCATACCCCAAGCCATGGTGCTCTTCCCTATGGCTAGTTTATAATTACTGTTAGCAAAATAGCTGCTGTGGGCAAAATGGGAAAACCTGAAATTACAGCATGAGATTGTGAGACAGGAGGTGAGAGTGGTATGCCTCTCGCCAGAATGCCGTCCCTCCTCCATACAGCAGAGAAGGAGGTACAAACCCAGCCTGTCTCATCTCCCAAAAGAACAGAGCAGCAAGAGACAGAAACAGAGGAGATAAAAGGAGGAATACAAAAGCTAACCGTCAAAGGGACTCAGGGAAAAACGGCGGGAATGGAACGGAAGAAGAGGAGAGGAGATCAAATTGCCACCAGGTTGGGAGTTGGTCTGGATGGAGAGTCCATGGACCGAAGCATGGGAAAGACTGAGAGTGCCTAAGGAGGAGGCCGACTATAGGAAAAGAAGGGGGATCCCACCACGACCATCTTATTGGGGAGAGGCAGAGGCCAGGGAGTGGAGAAGAAAGTTGAGAAAAGAGAAGAGAGAAGAGAGAGAGAGAGAAGAGAGAGAGGCTAGAATGGAGGGTGAACAAAATGAGGAGGAAAGGGTACAGGGAGGACCCTGGAAGACCCTCGCACCTGAAAGATGTCCCATGTGGGTTGATGGCCGGGACGACACCGTGCCCCTGCTGGAAGGTGAAGCAGGACAGACAGTGAACCCGAACTTCTCAATGGACTGGCCGGGTCCATGGAACTCTGGGGAAAGGAACCCGTTCCTGGACAATGAATGGAAGCCCCTTACCGACCCATTGTCAAAAGGAGGAAGACGTTGGAGCCATTTCGCAGACACTGGTTATTTGTTGGATACACCAATAAATATCTCACCTGTCTCTAAACAACAATAATCTCCTGATTTCTTCCCACAAAGGGAGGAGCCTAAAGTCGAACCCTTACGGAGATAATTAATAAAACTTATAACAAAGGATGGAACTCAACTAGGAGGATACAATTCTGGCGTTCATTTTGTGTTGATTAGACACAGGGACTTTGTATTTGTATCTTGGGGATATCAATATGACTACAGGTGCTGTGGGGGCCCAATTCCCTCCCCCAGAACTGGCCAGGCCACTCACTGGGCTCCATATGGCGCTGGGGTCCTGCAGCAGCAGCACACCGATCCCAGCAGGAGCTTGACCAAGCAGGAGCCGGACCGGCCCTTCCCCTCCTCCCTGTGCAGCTGAGCAGGGAAATTCGCTGTCTCGCCTCCACACCAAAGTGTTTGGCTGCACAGGGAAATGGGGGAAGGGCCGGCTAGGCTCCTGCTGCGATTGGCATGCTACCGCTGCTGCCACCACACCACAGTACCTCATGGAGCCAGGCGAGTGACCTGGCCATTTCTGGGCCCTGAGATACGAATACAAAGTGCCCGTCTCTATTGTGGATCATAACATGTAGTTCTACTTTCAAGTTCCGTTTTGTTCCTCTCCTGCCCTTCAGCCCTCCCATAACAGTCCATGGCTATTAATCATGGTGGCTGTGCATTACCTCCGTACCAGAAGCAGAACATCTCTGATCAGCAACTGACGGGAAAATGGAGTGAAAGAATGCAATTGCATTGACCTAAAGATATTGGGCTTCCCACAGGGATTTGGATGACCTATTTTTGAAAAGAATGCTATACTAGGTGAGCCTTTCAATCTTGCACGGTTCTTCTTACTTTCTGTCATCAGATTAAAACTGCGGCTTCCCACAGGTATTTGGATGACCTATTTTTGAAAAGAATGGTATACTAGGTGAGCCTTTCAATCTAGCACGGTTCTTCTTATTTTCTGTCATCAGATTAAAACTGCAGGCTTGCACACACTTGCCTGAAAGCGCTACTAAATACATGGTGGCCAAGGTACCCTCTAATTTTCAGTCTCACTGGGCGGGGCTCCACCTTGCTTGCACACACCTTTGCCCCTGCATGCGTGACTCCATCCCCCCCCTCCAATGCGGGGTTCCTTTGTGACCAGAACCAGAGGGGCTGGCAACAATCGTGCGGAGGAGGAAAGCTGCACGGGAGGAGGCAGAGGTGTGCATGCACAGGCACATACCTTGGAGGGAACCTTGACGGTAACTTATTTCTGTAGGGTTTACACTGATTTTGTTATAGTGGCAATCTTTACTTATCATACTCAACAATAGCTGGGTTTAAAACTCACAAGATAGGACAGTTCCTGTCAGGGTTGTTTGGCAGAGTTTGATGTGAGGAAAACTAAGTGTGGCTCCAATTAAAAATAACAAACCTTCCTTCTGATTATGTAGCAGATAAATATGGTTCTGGCAGCCTGGTGCATTGTTGCATGCCCAAAAATCAAAGAGACCGGGTGTTCTTATTTGTCAGCAAGAACTTGCTGCAATTTATTCCATTTGCCTTCCACATACAGACTTCTATACTACATGATTTTGGCCATGGAAAGCTGTGCACTTTTTTACACATTTCCCCCCAATGTGTGTATTTAAATGCTGGATCTCTCAGCGGCTTAGGTCTCTGGCTGCGGAACTAGAAGTTGGAAGCTCAATTCCCCACTTTGCCTCTTTGAGACGGCGGGACTCAAGGATCCAGGGGGTCCCTTCCTGCTCTGCAGTTTAAAGGTTATAATTATTTGATCATTTCCCCTAAATTACACAACTTTCCTTAGTTGCTTTGGCGCATTTTTTTTAGTTCTGCCCATTTATCCATTACGTTTCAAAATATGTATGTTGTTTTGTACACATTTCATTTCTCATAAACGCCCTGTAAGCATTTATGAGATGTGTGAATTCTTGAGGTGAAGTACTTTCTTCCTGAAAAAAATTTTTAGGAGCTACAAAACATGACTAGCCCACAGTGCCACCACGTCCCTTATAATTATTTGATAATTTCCCCTAAATTACACAACTTTCTTTAGTTGCTTTGGTGCATTTTTTTTAGTTATGCCCATTTATCCATTACGTTTCAAAATATGTATGTTGTTTTGTACACATTTCATTTCTCATAAACGCCCTGTAAGCATTTATGAGATGTGTGAATTCTTGAGGTGAAGTACTTTCTTCCTGAAAAAAATTTTTAGGAGCTACAAAACATGACCTCTGTTGAAACTGTAAAATCAGTAAGAATTTTTTAAACATCTGGCAGAGTCAGGAGAAGGCACAAGTATTACAGTGATTAACTAAGCACAAGCTCTCACATAAGTCCTCAAAAACACCATGACAACAACAACAAAACCACCTTAGATTCTTAAAGCACTTATGTTCCAAATGTCCATAAATTCACTTGCATGCTCAACAGAATTAGAGAGCTCTCTCCCATGGAGAAACTACAGGCCTAAACTAAAAGCTCTGTTTCTCAGAAACTATCTTCCCACCCATTTCTTCATGAAACCATGTTTCTTTCACTCCCTTTCATATATCAGAAGGAGAAAGCATGGCACAATACAGAAAACACCCAGCTCACAAACATAAAACCTAACCTTTCCACCACAGAGATTGGAATATAGTACTTCGAGTTTGGGAACACAAAAGAAATTAGTGTTTAGAAGAAATAATCTCATTGATTATTATTTTTGTGTAGGAAATTTATCTTACATACAAAGCAACAATCAGGAGTTGCTAAATTCCACTGGGTAAAAAATGACAGATGTTAAGCAACAAGATTTAGGGCCAGCCTATAATACTGAACTTATGGACAGACCCAGGATTCACAGACACAACAAACATCCCTATGATGATACCTAGATATAAAGTGACAATTAACAGAATTACTGACACAACAATCCAGTCTCAGTTTTGGTTCTGTGGCATTTAAACTCCCATGATGCCCTCTTCATCTACCCCAAAGGTTCCTGGGAAGTGTAGTTTGCGGAGGCCACTACGGGCAATTCCCCCAACGATGTAGGCATACTCTCAGAACTACATTTCCCAGAATCTTGGGGGGGAACAACTCGCACAATTACAGATGTACGAGCAAATACGAGGTAATAAAATACACCGCGTAATGACAGAGGTTTGCTCTTCTGACACAAGGAGCACCCCTTCAGAATAAGGAAAGCCCTTTATCTAGCTCCTTGTGTGGCCACGATTCCCGGCGAGGGCTGAGGGAAGACTCAAACTATACACAGTGGGGAGCGCGAGGGTCCGCGGACTCTCAAGACTTTTCTAAATGGGAGGCAGAAAAAGGAAAAGGGGGCCCGAGGGAGACGATATGCCGAGCCGGCCCATCACCTGCTGCAGCAACGCCTCGCGCTGGCGGCGCTTCTCTTCCTTACGCGCTGCCAAACTCCGCTCGCTTTCAAAGCCGGACGCCATGATGGTTAAGGGAAAAAGTCCCGGAAAGGAAGCAACCGTCGCTAAGACGCATGCGTACCTCCAAAGGGAAATTTGAGTTGTTCCGACGCCGCGCTCTGCTCGCGCATGCGCGTCCACTGTTTCTTCGTGTTGGCCACGGGCAGCGGCCTTAGCGGTGCGTCTGAGTGCCTGCGCGCTGCGTTTGAATTTATGTCACTCTGAAGGGTGATAGAAGAGCCCGTCTGGTGATTTCTATAAGCAAAGCGTGTGCTGTGGCTTCTTCGCCCAATCATTAGTTATGCCTGTGCCCCATAATGCTGTATAGAGCCAAATCCTGTTAAGTATTAATCTGGGGGTGGGGAATACAGTACATATTCACAAAAGTGGTGACAAATCTTACTTAAGAGTCTTCTTTGATCAATCAAAGTGAACCAAAGCTGTACTTTTGGAAGAAGTAGCTGTGTTAGTCTGTGCAAGTACATCAGGAAAAATCCAAAGAAACAACAAGCAAAAATATGTGGCACTTTGAAGACTATTATATTTTAATGTGAGCTTTCGTGGACATAACCAGTTAATCAGATATATGAAAACTGACAAAGTGGACATGTGTATGAAAGTTCACATTAAAATATAATAGCTAGTCTTTAAGGTGCCACATGGTTTGGTTTCTTTGGATTTTGCCTGAACGCCAAAATTGCACAAGGATGGCCCACAATGCTCTCTATACATGGGCCAAACTTAGAATTACAATTACTGTATGTCATTTATTTCATTAAATGTGAAAAGAGGAGGTTTTAAAATAGCACTGCAAAGAGTTGAAAGTGCTTTACATACATTATCTCTGCAAATCCTAATAAAACCTGCACATCCGTTAGTCAGGGTTGCTTCCTTTTGGAAGTGATTGATTCATAGAAGTACCACAGATTAGGAACTACTTGATGCACATAACAAAAATGTAGTATTTCTCCTACATTTCAGATAGTGATGGGACAAGCTAATGTTGAGGAATAATGGAGAGAAGAAAGCTAGGAGTTATATTGTGTTTAGTCGTTTAGTCGTGTCCGACTCTTCGTGACCCCATGGACCAGAGCACGCCAGGCCCTCCTATCTTCCACTGCCTCCCGGAGTTGGGTCAAATTCATGTTGGTTGCTTCTCATTAGATGGCCAAAGTACTGGAGCCTCAGCTTCAGGATCTGTCCTTCAAGTGAGCATTCAGGGTTGATTTCCTTTAGAACTGATAGGTTTGTTCTCCTTGCAGTCCAGGGGATTCTCAAGAGCCTCCTCCAGCACCACAGTTCAAAGGCATCAATTCTTCGGCGGTCTGCTTTCTTTATGGTCCAGCTCTCACTTCCATACATCATGACAGGAAAAACCATAGCTTTGACTATTCGGACTTTTGTTGGCAAGGTGATGTCTCTGCTTTTCAATATGCTGTCCAGATTTGTCATCGCTTTCCTCCCAAGAAGAAGGCGTCTTTTAATTTCAGGGCTGCTGTCTCCATCTGCAGTGATCATGGAGCCCAGGAAGATAAAATTTGACACTGCCTCCATATCTTCCCCTTCTATTTCCCAGGAGGTGATGGGACCAGTGGCCATGATCTTAGTTTTTTTGATGTTGAGTTTCAGACCGTTTTTTGCACTCTCCTCTTTCACTCTCATTACAAGGTTCTTTAATTCCTCCTCACTTTCTGCCATCATAGTGGTACTATCTGCATATCGGAGGTTGTTGATATTTATATTACTGTTTCCCATTTTAAAATGTTTTGTTTTCCTTTTGGGCAACTGGATGATATATGTCTTGTTATAATTTATTAGCTGTTGTTCATCAAACCACTTTTAACTGGCCAGGTACCACATGACAAACTATTTTGGTATGCTCTCCTTCCTTCCTTCCTTCCTGAGTTCCTTCCTGAGTTCCTTCCTTAGTTCCTTCCTGAGTTCCTGAGTTCCTGAGTTCCTGAGTTCCTTCCTTCCTTCCTGAGTTTGTTCTTTGTATTCTGGTAGGTGTGTTCTATTTCGGGTGGTGCTGATGTGCTTTACACATGTCCCTAGGTGGTGTCGCCTACAATGATACACCCTCTTCTAAACCAGTTTGTCATTTGTACTTCCCTTCTGTCCCACTTGTTTCCTCTTACTCAGTTATGGAGCCTTGCCTTTACAGCACTGCAGCTAAATCTTCAGTTTGAGGGGGACATTCAAATTCACATCACCAGAGATCCAATCTGAAGCCTACACCTCTGACCCGAGACTACAGTCCTCATTTTGTAACTTGCTTTAAGCAGAGAAGCCTTGTGGCTATGATTTTCAGAGTATTTTTTCCTGTACCATGTATAGCTCTGTGGTGCCTGGCCTTATAAAAATCTGTTTGCATCAAAGGCTAATTTCTGTTTGCAAGTTTTAGTGGTTTCAAAAAGGTATCAGCTGCTGTCACTTCTAAGCTAAATCCTGCTATTTCATTTGTAATTTGAGTACATCTCTGGTGCAAATGTACCCTCTCATTTGGACTGGCTATATATGATGTCACAACGGTATGTCAGTAAAATGATGCGAAAACCACAAGTAACTCTCAGCTCACAGCTTGAGACCACCAGGATCTGGTTCTGGTTTCATAATATTCGACTCATTGTATGTCTTCCCTGACACTGTGATGCCATAACCGTATCAGTAAACTGTGGTACAGTACTATGATTATCACAAACTCCTCACGTGCCATAACCGTATCAGTAAACTGTGGTACTATGATTATCACAAACTCCTCACACCCTCCCAACCAGCATCAATATAAAGGAAGTATGTGTGTGTTAGATGGTATGTGACACACAAAAGTTGTGGGGATATTCTGGCAATGGCAGGTATGACTTTTCCTCCTGAGTCCCTTAACAAGCCCACATGGGGATGGCATGTGGAACTCTTCACATGTGTGTGTGTGCGCACAAGCTGATATCACAACAATGTTCAGAAAATCAAAATGAGGGAGGGCAGAAGAATATGACTAGTGTAGAAGAGACATGCAATAAGTTGTAGTAGGAACTGCAATAGAAGGTAATTAGCTAGAAGCATTATGATAATCATCTACTGTACCTCAGCTCATACACCAAATTGATAGCCAACAAGAGATTAAGACAGTTACATTCAGATTGCCTTCAACAGTTAGAATGAAGACAAACATCTGTCTTGCACAGTGGAATTGGATCTGTATTCTGTACTTTAGGTGCCACATGTAAACTCTCAAATTCAGTCAAATTCAGGAGCAAATATTGTCCCATGATTTGCATGGACGGGGCATTGGGGTTGAATGTCAATCACAGTAGCAACCAATTGTTCCCTCTCTACCTCAGATACTTTTCCCTGTTTTTTTTTTTTTTTTTTTTTTGTAGTCAGGGTTTTAGTCAGTTAGCAATGTTAGTGTTCAGTATGTGCTATATCCTGACAGTCATGGAGACAGCAGTTAAGAGTATGAGTGAAGTGTTTATGTAACCAGTCAGTTAAATAATGAAGTTAACTAGTTAATCTCATTCTGTGTAATGTGAATATGTTTGTTTGTTTTTTCTGATATATATGAAGATTTGTGAGTAAAAGAGAAATATTGTTATACTTTTTCAACACCACAGTTTCTGACTGACTCTACTTAGACTATATTGCCACTTGAGGTAAAACTAACCAAACAATAAGGGGTAGCATATCTGAGAGAGACTTAATTATAATAATCTAATCTGTAGGGCCCTGTCTGGATTTTTAGTTCCACTGCACAGCTGAGGGTTTTAAGCCAGCAATTTCTTTTTAGCCATGACAAAACTACTCTTCTCTTTCATCCCTCAGAACAAGAGACCTCAACTTTTCATGTCCTTCATCCCACTAATCACTCTAACATAGCAGCTGTGTCTCATGAAGATAGTACTTTAGGTATCTAACTCAAGAACCATAGGTTGGGAGTTTAATTCTCCACAGCGGCTGGACCCTATGATCCTTTCCAGCTCTGCAGTTCTAAGATGATAAGGATGATGATGATGATCATGACAGAAACACCCACTTTTTCCAAGAAGGACATGTATGTATTTACAGATATTCTTTTATGATATCTGTGATTTATGCTGTAAATGATAGGAACATCAGAAACACAACAGATTATTCCTGACTGGAAGGAGCATCTCATTATACAAATGCTGTGCAGGGGGGAGGAGAATTACAGGAAATGCTGGGTATCCAACATCCCAGCTTGCCTGCCAAAAGTTCACTAATAGTGATGGATGATTCCTGGCAAATAGGGTTCGTAGGAGATACCATGGCCTATTTCCAGGAAGATGGTGGATTTAAAGTACAGTGAATTTTTATGAAAATCATGCATTCCACCTAATTCTACATGTATTACTCCTTCTCAAAGGGAGAGATATCAAAAGAGAAAGACTGGTGCTACAATAACCAAAAAGAAAAAAAATAGTAGAAAAAATAGATTGTTATAATATCCAAAGCAAAAGGCAATAGCCTGTTTGAAGCATAAAGAGAAAGGTAAAAATCTGTGTGGAAATCCTGCTCAAGATCGTACACATGTCTATACAGAGGCAGAGGCACAAAGAAACAACTCAATGTAGATGGCTCATGACTGGAGCAGAAGATATGACTCCTTGAAATCTGGGCCTGAAGCACCTCCTCCATAGTACTCAGCTCACTCAACAACAGAAGAACCAACCGTTGTTGTATCTTGAAGCAGCAAGAACAATGTATATCTTCCCCCCACTTACTTGCTGTGATTTATTAAACCAATTCTCATTGGTTCAGTATGAAAAACCATAGGTGTTCTTGCTGGCTCATGAATCCGTGTCTTGCTTCAACTATGTCCACAGTTGTCAAAACAGATCCAAGAAAAAGATCAAAGGATCAGAACTGAATGAAGTAAAAGCCAGGAATTAAACCAAAACTGGGAAAGCCGCTGTTGCTCAATCAGGACCAGTTCTGGTTGAAAATAGGAAACCATCCATGTTTCAGACTTTTGAAAGACCATTTATGCACAGCTATATGTAGTTGCTACCTCCTCCTTGCAGTCCTATACATGGTAAAATAAATAATTTAATTCAGGTTGTGAAATGC